TGGCCAACATGCTGAAACCTCGTCTCTACTAAAAATAAAAATTTAGCCGGGCGTGGAGGCAGGCACCTGTAACCCCAGTAACTCAGGAGGCTGAGGCAGGAGAATTGCTTGAATCTGGGAGGTGGAGATTGCAGTGAGCCAGGATCATGCCACTGCCCTCCAGCCTGGGCGACAGAGTGAGACTCTGTCTGAAAAAAAGAAAAGAAAAGAAAAGAAACATAACATACCAAAACCTATAGGATACAGCAAAAGCAGTATAAGAGGGAAGTTTATAGCAATAAACACCTACACCAAAAAGTAGTAAATTTTGAAATTAACAACCTGCTGATGCAACTCAAGGAACTAAAGAAGCAAGAACAAACCAAATCCAATATAACTAGAAGGGAATACATAATAAAAATCAGAACAGAAATAAATTAAAAACTAAAAACAATACAAAAGATCAATGAAACAAAAAGCTGACTTTTTAAAAAGATAAAACTGAAAAACCATTAGCTAGACTACCTAACAAACAAAGATCTGAATAAATCAAATTAAAAATGAAAGAGGAGACATTAAAACTGATACCACAGAAATACAAGAATCAGGCTGGGTGCGGTGGCTCACACCTGTAATCCCAGCACTTTGGGAGGCTGAGGCGGGTGGATCAACTGAGGTCGAGAATTCGAGGGCAGCCTGACCAACATGGAGAAACTCCATCTCCACTAAAAATACAAAATTAGCTGGGCACGGTGGTGGGTGCCTATAATCCCAGCTACTTGGGAGGCTGAGGCAGAAGAATCACTTGAACCCAGGAGGCAGAGGTTGTGGAGAACCGAGATTGTGCCATTGCACTCCAACCTGGGCAACAAGAGGGAAACTCTGTCTCAAAAAAAAAACAAAAAAAAACGAGGACCATTAAAGACTATTATAAACAACTCTATGCCAACAAATTGGAAAACCTAGAGGAAATGGGTAAACTCCTGGACACATGCAACCTATCAAGATTGAACCAGGAAGAAGTAGAAAACCTCAACAGACCAATAACAAGGAACACAACTGCATCAGTAACAAAAAGTCTCTCAACAAAGAAAAACCAAGAACTGGATGATTCATTGCCAAATCTACTAAACTTTTAAATAATTAATGTGGATTCTTCTCATACTATTCCAAAAACATGAAAAGGAGGGAATTCTTCCAAATTCATTCTACAAGGCAAATATTACCCTAATAAAAAATCCAGACAAGGACAGAACAAAAAAAAAAAAAAGAAAGAAAACTACAGGCTAATATTCCTGATGAACATAGATGCAAAAATCTTCAACAAAACAGTAGTAAACCAAATCCAACAGCACACCAAAAAGATTAATACACCATGATCAAGTGAGATTTATCCTAGGGATCCAAGGATGATTCAATATACACAAATCAATAAACATGATACATCACACAAAGAGAATAAAGAACAAAAACACATGATCATTTCAATAGGCACAGAAAAAGCATTTGATAAAATTCAACATCCCTTCATGACAAAAACTCTCAACAAATTAGGCACAGAAGAAATTTACCTCAGCACTATAAAGTCGACATATGACAAACCTACAGCTAACATTATGAGGAAAAGTTGGAAGCTTTTCCTCTAATAGCTGGAATGATATAAAGGTGCCTACTTTCCCCACTACAATTTGACACTGTACTAGAAGTCCTAGCCAGAGCAACCAGGCAAATTTAAAAACAAAGGGCATTCAAATTGGAAAAAAGGGAAGTCAAACTGTCTTTTTGAAGACAGTGTGATCTTATCTGCGGAAAAACCTAAAGACTCTGCCAAAAACTCTTAGAACTGACAGACAAATTCAGTAAAATTTCAGGATATGAAATCAACATACAAAAATTATTAGCATTTCTATACACCAATAACAAACTAGCTGAAAAAGAAACCAAGAAAGCAATTACATTTTCAATAGCTATAAAAAATATTATGTAGGAATAAAACTAACCAAGAAGGTGAAAGATCTCCACAATAAAAACTATGACGTACCAATGAAAGAAATGGAAGAAGACACAAAAAAATTGAAAGAAATATCATGTTCATGGATTTAAAAGATTAATATGGTTAAAAACAACCATACCCAAATTGATCCACAGATTCAAAGCAATCCCTATCTAAACACCACTGACGTTCTTCACAGAAATAGAAAAAATAATCCTAAAATGTGTATGGAACCACAAAAGACCCAAACAAACAAAGTAATCCTGACTAAAAAGGACAAAGCTGGTGGCATCACATTATCTGACTTCAAAATACACTATAAATATACTGTAACTAAAGCAGCATGGTACTGGCATAAAAACAGGTACATGGATCAATGAAACAGAATAGAGAACCCAGAAATAAATCCACATATTTATAGCCAACCGATTTTTAACAAGGCACCAAAAACATACATTGGGGGAAGAACAGTCTCTTCAATAAATGGTGCTGGATAAACTGGATATCTGGATATGCAGAAAAATGAAACAAGACCCTTATCTCTCACCATATACAAAATTCAACTCAAAATGGACTAAAGATTTAAATATAAGACTCTGAACTATAAAACTATTAGAAGAAACTAAAAGGAGAAACACTTCAGGACATTGGTCTGGGAAAAGATTTTAAGGATATAATCTCCAAAGCATAGGCAACAAAAGCAAAAATAGACAAGTGGGATTATATCAAACTAAATACACAAACACACACACACACAAATAATCTGATTTCAAAATGGGAAAATGATCCTGAATGGATATTTCTCAAAAGAAAGCATTCAAATGACCAAGAAGTATATGAAAAAATGCTCAACATTACTAATCATCAAATGCAAATCAAAAACCACAGTATGATATAATCTCATTCCAGTTAGAATGACTATTAACAAAAAGACAAAAAAACAATCAAATGCTGGCAAAGATGCAGAGAAAAGACAACTCTTATACACTGTTGGACTTATAAATTACCATAGCCATTATTGAAAAAAGTATGGAGGTCCCTCTAAAACCTATAACTAGAACTACCACATGATCCAGCAATCTCACTATGGGGTATAAATTTTTAAAAAAGGAAATCAGTATGTTGAACAGATATCTATACTCCCATGTTTATTGCAGCACTATTCACAATAACCAAGATAAAAGTATCCATTAACAGATGAATGGATAAGGAAAATGTGTTATATATACCCAATGGAATACTATTTGGCCATAAAAAGAATGAGATCTTGTCATTTGCAACAACACTGATGAGCTTGGAGGACTTTATGTTAAGTGAAATAAGCCAGGCACTGAAAGGTAAATACATGTTCTTACTCATCTTCTCCACATGTTCTTACTCATTTTCAGAAGCTAAAAAAGTTGATCTCATAGAAGTAGAAAGTAGAATAGTGATTATTAAGGCTCAGAGGGTGGGTGTGGGATAGGGAGAGATTGTTTAAAGGATACAAAATTATCAGTAGACAGGGAAAATAAGTTATTATGTTCCATAGCACTGTAAGGTGACTATAGTTAACAATAATTTATTGTATATTTTCAAACAGCTAGAAAAGGGGATTTTGAATGTTCCCAGGGCAAATAAATAATAGATGTTTGAGAAGATGGATATACTAGTTACCTGGACTTGATAATTATACATTGTATGTATCAAAATATCACTCTGTGCCCCATAATTATGTACAATTTTTGTCAATTAAAATATTTTAAAAGATAATTTAGTTTAATATTTTGTTTCACAAATAAAGAAGCTAAGGCTAAAGGAGGTTACATGACTAGACAAGTATCACACAGAGAGTTGGTGTTAAAACTGGACTAAAATCCAGTTTTTGGTTTTTGTTGTTGTTGTTGTTTTGTTGTTGTTGTTGTTGTTGAAGACAGAGTCCCATGCTCTCACCCAGGCTAGAGTGCAGTGATGCAATCATAGCTCACTGCAACCTTGACCTCCTGAGCTCAAGCAATCCTCCACCTCAGCCTCCCGAATAGCTGGGACTACAGGTGTATTTCACCACATCTGGCTAATTTTTTTTTTTTTTTTAGACGGAGTCTTACTCTGTTGCCCAGGCTGGAGTGCAGTGGCGTGATCTCGGCTCACTGCAAGCTCCACCTCCCGGGTTCCTGCCATTCTCCTGCTTCAGCCTCCTGAGTAGCTGGGACTACAGGCGCCCGCAACCGTGCCCGGCTAATTTTTTGTATTTTTAGTAGAGACGGGGTTTCACCATGGTCTTGATCTTCTGACCTGGTGATCCGTCTGCCTCGGCCTCCCAAAGTGCTGGGATTACAGGCGTGAGCCACTGCGCCCGGCCCACATCTGGCTAATTTAAAAAAAAAAAAAAATTTGTAGAGACAGAGTCTCTTTTTGTTGCCTACGCTGGTCTTGAACTCCTGGGCTCAAACAATCCTCCTGCCTTGGCCTCCCAAAGTGCTGGGGTTACAGACATGAGTCACTGTGCTTGGCCCTAAAGTCCAGCTTTTTGACAATTTTTTATCCTCTACTGAAAGCTAACAAGATTTTGAAAGTGTGGCAATTAGATTAGAAAGTTTCAAATAAGGCCAGGCGCAGTGGCTCACACCTGTAATCCTACCATTTTGGGAGGCCGAGGTGGGTGGATCACTTGAGGTCAGGAGTTCGAGACCAGCCTAGCCAACATGGTGAAACCCCCGTCTCTACTAAAAATACAAAAATTAGCTGGGCATGGGGTGCACGCCTGTAATCCCAGCTGCTAGGGAGGCTGAGGCAGGAGAATTGCTTGAACCCGGGAAGCAGAGGTTGCAGTGAGCCGAGATCGTGCTACTGCATTCTCCAACCTGGGTGACAGAGCAAGACTCTGTCTCAAAAAAAAAAAAAAAAAAGAAAAAAAAAGAGAAAGTTTCAAATAAAGCTGTTGTAGTGAATCCATGCCAACACTTTTAAAAAGGGAAAGAAAATTCCATATTTTGTGAATGATTTTAGCAAAAATCTTATCTACAAGGAAACATAGTTATTTTCTCACCTTCAAAAATTTTGCTTGGAGTTGCAATAATGCATCTGTTCTTCTCCGTTCTTTTAATTTAGTCAAAAGCTTCCTTTGCCACGGATCACAGTTTGGCTTGATCTAGTGGACAAACACGTTCACACAAAGTTACAACATAACAGAATGATTCTCAATAAAAGTTGCAAGCAAAGAGATTCAAGGACCTTCTGAAATGGTATCTGGCTTTGGCGCTAGGTTGGCTGGGACAAGTGAGCTTTTGGAAAGGGTCTTCATGGGTTCACAGATCCATTGAAGGAGACAGCAGCACCAGTTCCTGTTGGTGCCTGGCCTATAAGATGCAGTAGATCCATCTGGGATGACACCATAACATCCACAAGCAGCAGGAACCCTAAATCCATCAGAGTTGGTCATTGCACTTTATTTACAGGGCAAAAGTTCACCCACAGACTCCTTGTGACTCCACATTTAAAACATCTTTCATATTAATAAACTGTATTTCAAAAGTAAGTTCTGTTGCTGTAAATACCATTAACACTCAAATTTATATCTCAGCCCTAAACTCCAGCCTATTATATCCAACTACTCCTTTGATATCTATTCTTGGATATCAAGTGTAACCATCTAAAACAGAAAGTCCAGCTTCCCTTACATGGACTACCTTGTTCCTCAAGCACTAAATGGACTTAGGAGCAATCTTTGATTTCTCTCAGTCCATCTTTATTTACTCCTATGGTCTGAATGTGTTCTTCTAAAATTTAAATATTGAAACCTAACCCCCAAGGTGATGGCATTAGTAATAGAATTTGGGGATGTGATTAGATCATGATGGTAGAGCCCTCATGAACAGTATTCATGCCCTTACAAAAGAGGCCTGAGGGACTTTGGCTTTTTTTTCCCACCGTGTGAGGATATGGGGAGAAGTCAGAAGTCTATAGCCTGGAAGAGAACCTTCCAGAACTTGACCATGCTGGCCCCCCGATCTTGGACTTCCCAGTCTCTAGAACTGTGAGAAATATATTTCTGTTCTTTATAAGCTACCCAGTTTATGGTATTTTGTTAAAGCAGCCTGAACAGACTAAAACAATCATACAAGATTTATTTTATTTTATTTTATTTTTTGAGATGGAGTCTCACTGTCGCTAGGCTGGAGTGCAGTGGCACAATCTCGGCCCACCGCAACCTCCACCTCCCGGGTTCGATTCTCCTGCCTCAGCCTCCTGAGTAGCCGGGACTACAGGCACGCACCGCCACACCCAGCTAATTTTTGTTTTTTTGGTTTTTTTTTTTTAGTAGAGAGGGGGTTTTACCATGTTGGCCAGGATGGTCTCAATCTCTTGACCTCATGATCTGACCACCTTGGCCTCCCAAAGTGCTGGGATTACAGGTGTGAGCCACCGCGCCTGGCCCAAATTTTTCTTTTCTTCATAATACAATCAATCCTTGTTGTTTGTGGATTCCACATTTGTGATTTTGCCTACTATCTAACACTTTTTGTGACCCAAAACTCAATACTAGTGGAGCTTTCATAGTCACTCATAGGCGTGTGCAGGGTAGTGAAAATTTGTGTCACCCTATGGGCATATTCTCAACTCAATTTGAACAAGGCAACACTCTGTCTTCTTGTTTCTGCTTGCATATTACAAACAAGGATCCTTTTCGTGGTCCATTTAGTGCCACATTCTTCACATTTTTGTGCTTTTTGGTGGTCATTTTACTGTTCAAAATGGTCTGCATGGGTAGTGCCAAAGTAATGTCTAATGTTTCTAAGCATAAGAAGGCTGTGTGATGTGCCTTTTGGAAAAACTACATGTGTTAGATGAGCCTCATTCAGGCATGATTTATAGTGCTGTTAGTCATTAGTTCAATGTTAATGAATCAACAATATATTTTAAATAAGATGTCATTAAACAGAAATACACGTAAACCAGTTATGTATTGATGAGTGTTCCGATGAGAGGTTCACAGGAACTAACTCTATTTCCCCTAGAGGTAACGATTCAATGTTTGCTAACTCAGTGTTCATGGTGACTTTCCAGAGCAAAACTACCTTGAATAACAGGAACTGACCATAGTTAGCACTACCTAAAATCATCTTATTTAGTTTGCTTACTTGCATATTGTTTGTGAATTGTGTATCTCCAGCATGAAGGGCCATACCTGATATACAATATGTACCAAATAAATAGTTTTTGACTCAATGGTTGGATTTACACAAGTCAATCACACCCTTAAATAGTAAGCTTAGCTCTTGCCAAGTATCTGAGATCATTAGTAATAAGCAGGGAGTTTGGGCCCATTAGAGTGGGGTACAGGCATCTGGAAAACCTTCAGGGAAGGCAGATCAGCATAGCAAACTTTGACATAGAGCCAAGGCAGGCAAAGAGCTGGAAGAGTGGGGCACACAAGGCCAGGTTCTCTGAGTTGCCTCAACTGAGGACATGAAAGCGTCTCCCCTAGTCAAAGAGGACAGTTTGCTGAGGGCACTAAGGAGAGAAGATAACAGGGACCACATAAACCTGGTGCTGCCAGGTTGCCTAGCCTGCTTAGATGACACTGTGACACTGCTGATATCACTGATAGATGACTATCACCATGAGTCTCCTTACCTTTATGAAGGAAATCCAGTTGGCTCTCTTTTTCAGGGTCATTCTGGGTCCTGCCAAACCCAAATTATCTGCTTTAACTATTCCAGCTTCATAGTCTGGAAACGTTTGCAATCTCTGTTGCTTCATGAAGATGCTTTGAAATTTTTGGGAAACCTAAACAGGATGAAGTGAGAAGTGGAACCCAGAAAAAAAAAGTCTCAGAGAGTGGGCAATTTCAAAAACAGCTACTGACTGTCTTTGAAATAGCCTTGGAATCAAACTAATTTATAAAACACGACTCTGTGACAGTGACAAGATCTTAAATGGGCATACCTGTGTGGCGCACATTCTCAGTCAGCTCATTACCATAATTGTGTGTATTACCTGTTCTGAATGTCTGCTCCAGCGATTGGAAATATATTAATGTATTTATTTATATATATTTTGAACTGGAACCTAAATATAAGTGAGAAGTAAATTGTCTACCTTTGGAAATGCATTCACTTTTTCCGACCACCCAATAAACTATTATAGACTATCTAAGGATTAAATAAATCCTGCTCTCAGAGGCCTGACAAGGATATGGTTAGAGAGGAGTCCAGGTGCTAGAACCTGTTAAACTCTTTAAGGCATCTCAACCTATTCCTTTCATAGCTTACTTTCAGACTGAGGCTACAAGTGCTTTCTACGACATCGATTCCTACTGTCAAAATGCTGAACATTCCTTCTTCCGCCTCCAGGGTGGGCCCCTGTGGTGGCACCTTTATCACTGTACTTGCCACATTGTGTCAGGATTTCCTCACTATATGGTGAGCCCCATTCAGGGTATAGACTATGAATGTCAAGAATTCACCACAAGGTGGTGGCCACACAACAATGTGAGTGTACTTAATGCCACTGAACTGAACGCTTACAATGGCTAAAATGGTAAATTTTGTTATGTTATTTTACCACTCATGCGTGCACATGTACACACACAGTAAGAACCTACCACAGTGCTGACACATACTAGGGCCTCAACAAAGGTTTCTGGAATGAGTGAGCAAATTTGTGAGTCACAGAGCTGAAGATTCTTCTAGTAATAATGCTGCTACCTCTGAGGTTGTGCTATCCAATGCTGTTGCCCCTAGCCACATGTGGCTGTTTCACATTATTAATTAATTAGAATTAAATAAAATTTGAAATCTTGTTCTTCAGTTGCGCTAACCACATTCCAAGTGCTCAGATAACTATTAGTGTATGTGACTAGTGGTTAACATGGGACAGTGCAAAGGCAGAACACATCCATCGCTTCTGTAAGTTCAGTGAGACAGTGCTGGTCTATGACTGGGTTGGCAAACTCCTTAAAGGGCCAGATCGTAAGTATTTTAGCCTTTACTGACCACAAGGTCTCTGTCACAGCTACTCAAGTCTGCTGTTGTAGTGTGAAAGCAGCCATAGAAAATACATACATGAATAGGCATGGCTGTTGCTAGTGTCTGAATGTTTGTGTCCCCACAAGATTCATGTGTTGAAATCCTAAACCCAAAGTGATGGTATCAGGAGATGGGAATTTGGGGAGGTGATTGGGTCATGAAGGTGAAGTCTTCACGAATAGGATTAGTGCCCTTATAAAAGAAACCTGAGAGACTCTTGCCTTCTACCATGTGCAGACACAGCAAGAAGGCACCACCTATGAGCCAGAAAGTGGGCCCTCGCCAGACATCAGACTACCTTGATCTTGAACTTTCCAGCCTCCAGAGCTGTAAGAAATACATTTCTGTTGTTTAGAAGCCACTCCGTTTATGGTATTTTGTTACAGCAGCCTGAATGAACCTAAGACGACTGTATTTCAAAACAACTTTATTTTAAGAAAACAGGTGAGGGCTGTAGTTTGCTGACCCTGCTCTCAGGCATTAGAGTATCAGAATAAACAGCACCTAAACATAGGAACTCTTCCTAGGCAAAAAAGTTGATGTAATGTGATTGGTTATCTTGGAACACAATTAGTGTTTCACCTAATACTGTCGTAAGAAAATTAAAAGTGGAAATTATCACCATAAAAAGGAGACAAGCTGCTCTTTGGGAAAAACATGGCTTTGTTGGAGTGCTCCGCCAGGCTTGTGTTCTCTCGTTTATCATTAATAATAGTCTCCTGGGCTATAATTAACCTTTATTTTTTTTGGTTCTTCTTAAACACCATCATATTCTGATTCTGTGTTTCGCCTATCATAATCCTTGATGATAATAAGGGTGAGGACACTCCCACAGAAACACTCTGCTGGAGATAGTGCTGCTGGTGGCATGAAAAGAAAGGCAAAAGCTAAACATCATCACCTTCAAGGAAACAAGAGGACATGTGATACCACTGGTTCCAGTGAGCTTAAAGAGGCTGTCTGTGTTACACACTAATAAAAATCATCCTGGGCCGGGAGCGGTGGCTCATGCCTGTAATCCCAGCTCTTTGGGAGGCCGAGGCGGGAGGATCACTTGAGGTCAGGAGTTCAAGACCAGCCTGGCCAATGTAGTAAAACCCTGTCTCTACTAAAAATACAAAAATTAGCTGGATGTGGTGGCACATGCCTGTAATCCCAGATACTCGGGAGGCCGAGGCAGGAGAATTGCTTGAACCTGGAAGGTGGAGGTTGCAGTGAGCTGAGATTGTGCCACTGTACTCCAGCCTAGGTGACAGATTGAGACTCTGCCTAAAAACAAAACAAAACAAAACAAAACACCCCCTCCACACACACACACAAAATCCTGGTAAAATTATGCTGGAACAAATGGAAATGCAAGTGAAATTTCAAACTCAAGCAAATGGTGATAGCACAGACAGTAGCTTACTTCTTACATAAAGAGCATTCAAAACTATTCAGATCTTATTTTTACCTGTTTGGATCCATCAATTTCTTATTTTTACCTAGCAAATATGTATACTTGCAAAAAATATATAGCTAGAGCTAGAAAAATCTTTATTGTTGAAATTTTTGTTATTATAAATCTGAAGCTTGGCCAGGTGCGGTGGCTCATGCCAGTAATCCCAGCACTTTGGGAGGCCAAGGCGGGCAGATCACCTGAGGCCAGTAGTTCGAGACCAGCCTGGCCAATATGGCAACCCCATCTTTACCAAAAATACAAAAATTAGCTGGGCATGGCTGAGGCAGGAGAATCTCTTGGACCCAGGAGGCAGAGATTGCATTGACCTGAGATTGCACTACTGCACTCCAGCCTGGGTAACAGAACAAGACTCCATCTCAAGAAAATATTTTTTAAAATCTGAAGCTATCTACCTATAGTCCTATTCTTCTCTTTGAAACAAGTTTTGTTTGTTTGTTTGTTTGTTTGTTTGAGACAGGTTCTCACTATGCTGCCCATCCTGGGCTCAAGTGATCCCCTGCTTCAACCTCCCAAAGTGCTGGGATTACAGACATGAACCACCACGCCCAGCTCCCTTTGAAACAAGTTTTAACATGGCTTTTGATAATATGAGTTGTCTTCATTTCAGGAAGTACAACACTGTGTTATAGCAAAGAAGACTGCATGACTTTAAACATCACTACACAAGGTACCCGCTATTAAATATAAAGCATTTTGTCAATAAGGAAAGCTATTGCAATACATTTTGAGAATTGGAGGGCTTTTTTGCCCTCCAATTGACAACTCTGCCAAGCAAATTTGCCAAATATTTACATCATCTACTATAGACCGTACACTACTTTTGCTTTAAGTTCTGCAGAAAAACAAGTCCTGAAATCCTTCTGGGTTCACTATTTGAGTCCCATTACTCTTACAGAGGAAACTTTTCCTAACTGCTAATCAAAATTTCACCTATTACTACTTTATATGATCACTCTCGAAACAATTGTTGGTAGTAAAAGGTGCAACTCTGTGGCAAATAGCAGTGCTTTCTTTCATGAACACCTGTATTTGTATTAAGAAAGAGTATATCAAATACCAAGGAAAAAAGTTTCATTTCCTTAGCAGAGTCCCATAGCTCTTCCACGTCATATGGGATATCGAAATGGGAGAGCAGGAGCTTCAGCTGAAGTTTCAGTTCTCCTGTTTCTGTTGTGTGTTGGGGGAGGACAAAAGCAGCTTCTGTTCTCATTGGCCCTGAGGAAAACCAAAATCAAGAGCATTAAGACCAATGAATACTGTCAGGGAGAGAAAATGGACAGTCCTTTGAGACAGCTAGAAGTAGGAGCTCCTCTACTGATGGGATGCCCATTCTGCTCCTTTGCCAACATTTTCTGCCGCAATTTACAGTCTGCACCCTACTTGGCCAGGTGGATCTGACAAATTCTTGGAGCTGGGCTTTTGCAGGAGGCAGCAAGGACTCCTTGCCATCTCACAGCCTACAGGAGAAACCCAACAGACCTTTTGGGGAATGACTTGGAGCAGAATTGTCTGTTTTGTGGTAAATGAAGAACATTATTTATAAATTTATCCAACAAATTAGAAGAAGGTGAGAGCCTTCAGCTGCTTTCACATAGCTAGCTCCCCCTCATCTCTAAGGACCGTTTGAACTCCCCTCCTTCAAGAAGCCTTCTCAGATGCCCCACAGCTGGGGTTGGCTACCTCTCCCAGGCACTCCCGGGACACTCTGTGCATCCAAGCAAGAATGTCACTCAGAGTAGAAATCTTGTCAGGTTTCTTAGTCATCTATAACACAAGGTAAGAATAGGAAAACTGCATTAATTTTATTCAGATGAAGAAATTATTTTAGATTTGTGTAATATGAAAACTGCAAGGAGCCTTAGAGATCACTGATTCTGAAGGTGTATTATGGAGATGACCAAATTGAGGGCCAAGGAGATGAAATTCAGGCCCACAGTGAGGCCAGGACAGGAACAAGCCTAGAGCCCAGTACTGCTGACTTTAAGTCCATTTTTTTCTCTCACTCTTAACTTGCTAATTATAAAGACAGAGATTAAAACATGTCTTAAAAAGTGTTTGTTATTTTTTCCCATCTGAAAATATTAAATTAAGACTTGTCTATTAAGAAGATAAAACCTTTTGGTATATAGAACAATTTTTAGCAAGATCATGGGACAACCAGCATAAGTCTAAAATTACAATCTTCTTTGCTCCACATTACCCGAGGGGAAAGAAGACTAATTTCTTACCAGAAATGCTGGTATCCACAGGGTCAGGAGACACAGAACCCTGAATGTCAGGGTCAATGTCATTGACACAGACCTTTTCATTTTTCTGACCAACTTCAGTGACTTGGTTGACAGCTACACTTAGCACTTTGGAGATGGGCAAATACTGATGGGCCTACAGAAGGGCAAGACCAAGAGGCCAAACATAAACACAATTCTCACAGAAGCTTCCAGACTCAGGTTCAGGAGCAGCCCTTTGCTTTGGGAGAGAAGAACAGAAGTAGAGGTGGAGTCTCAGTAACCTGCCCAATGATGAGGGGCTATATTAGGAGCTCGGAGACCTAGTACTGTTACAGACTCTGAGTGGCTTTAACCTCCAAACAGGTCTACTTTGATCAAGGATCCAAAATGGACAAGGCACTTGTGAGGTGCTAGGGATACAAAGAGGAATAAGACAGGATACAACCTCAAAGAGCTCACGGTTTACTAGAAGACCCAGACTTACAAGCAGATTGTTATAACACCATGTGACTGGTGAGAAATGTATCAGAGGCAGAGCCCATAGTGGCTGGCTGGGTGTGGGGAAAGGATGAAGCCAGGTTTCTGATTTGGGCAATTCCGTAGATGATGGTGTCTCTGAGCTAAGGCAAAGAGAAGTAGGGAAAGATGTGTGTAGAAAAACAATAATCTTTCCAAAATGGAAATGTGATCATGTTACTCCTTTCTGACGCCTCTAGCCTGACTTAGGGCCTCTCTGTGACTCTCTTTACCCTATACTTATACTTATCCTGTGCTTTGTTACCCCATTGTATTTCAGTTGAATATTTACTTACCTAACTTCCTACCAGCCGAGGACCCAGTTACTTTTCAGCAAAGGCCGTATCCTTGCTGCATGCCTAGGACAAGTACCTGGCACATGTTAGACCCTCATTAAACATTACCTAATATTTAAAAAGTGGATCTAAATCGGAGAGCATAAATTCTGAACAAGATGATGAAGACAAGAACTTACAGAGTGAATAGGAAATAGTACAACAGAGACATCTTTGAGAAAGCTAAATTAATTATTTCAGTAGAATAAAGTTACAAAAGAGAAAAATGTCTAAGGTTTCAAAGAGAAATCCAGTGACCCATTATGTTTCTGTCATTTGTAGGGCAGGTGGAGTCCTGAAACAGTGACAATCTAAAACTAAGTGACAGATGTGAGAAAACAATGTACTGATCATCCCTGGAAGGGCGCCACATCATCACGTCACTGTGCTTCACATACCTGCAGGTGCTGGTGAACAGTCCTGAGAGACTGCAGGTGGCACACTAACCACTTTGTGTAAATAGTCAGATCTTCCTGTGTCACTAAGTTAGGAGGATTGTTTTTTCCCATGAGGAAGTTTTCTCGAGCAACAGACAATCTTTCAGCTCTCTGAAGGGCATCATTGTACTCCTGCATAATGTGGCCAACTTGTTTCTGTTTAAGAGAGATACAGAGATAGAACTCGGTTATTTGCAAGCCTTATGCTCTGTATCATTTGCTTCCAAGCATAGGGTAATGTTGTTTGGGGTCTAAATAAAGGGGTCTTTGAATCCCAAAGTTCTTCCATATTCTGAATTTGACTTATAAGGGCAGTGGTCATATTCTTAGGACTTCGAAGGAGACAGACGCCAAGCAAAGAGTCAGTGCATAGGGATACGTATAACTGGAGTCAGCTTCTGAACTTTTTACCTAAAGCTGAGGAAGCTAAGTCTGTGAAGAAAAATACATTTCCTCTCATACAAAACTTCCTTCAAATCTTATTCTTAAGAATAGTTTACCTTTACCATTACCTTCTGCCATTGGTAGAACAGGCGAGAAGGCACATCCATTAGTTTCTTTTCTATCTTTAGCTGTGACTTTTAAAAAACTGACAAGCTTATTGGCCATTTTGTTTCAACATAAAAAATAGCCCAGAGGTTCTGTTCATAGACTTCCTACCTTGTAAAGAGGATAAAGTTGCTCCATGATCTTACTGTGTTGGCAAAACCTCTTCCACCTAAGCATGTGTAAATATTTACTCTGGGCCAGCTGGGTAATTCTTTCTGTGTAATACTTTAACAACAAGAAAAACAAGCACTTAGAGAAGGAAGATTGAATAAGTCTTAATAACACTAACACGAGGAAAATCGGTCTCTGGTTGTTTTGGAAAGATTATTTTTCTATATGAAGACCATAACATTAAGAAGTCTGGCTCGGCCGGGCGTGGTAGCTCACGCCTGTAACCCCAGCATTTTGGGAGGCCAAAGTGGGTGGATTCCCTGAGGTCAGGAGTTTGAGAGCAGCCTGTTCAACATAGTGAAACCCTGTCTCTACTAAAAATACAAAAAATTAGCTGGGCATGGTGGCAGGTGCCTGTAATCTCAGCTACTCAGGAGGCTGAGGCTGGAGAATCGCTTGAACCTGGGAGGCAGAGGTTGCAGTGAGCCGAGATCACGCCATTGTACTCCAGCCTGGGCAACAAGAGTGGAATTCTGTCTCAAAAAAAAAAAAAAAAAAAAAAAAGAAGAAGTCTGGCTCAAGATAGTATTCAAATTGAAATAAAGTTAGTAGACATTTCTAAGTCTTTATGATCTGTTGCCAAGTCAATAGATGTAAGCTAATTTCTGTTACCAAACAATTTTAGCAGTGACACAAAAGTCTGTCAAGTTATCTAAAGCTGAGCCTAAAATTTTTTATTAAAAACTGAAATTATGAGTCAAAAATACAGAGTACATTACACGTAGGATTATAGCTTTTAATCTCAGATCAGAAATTTTATTTATACCTAAAAATGTTTAATTTTTTAAAGATTTTCTTTCTGATAATAAAAATAATACTGACTATGATGGAATAACCAGAACCAGACTTACCCTTTAATCATAAACAACTAGAAAATTGGACACAATATATAAGGCAACTGTTTTCTGACATTGGACAACAGGCAGTGCAGGACTCTGGTCCCTGAGAGAAGGACACAAATCATGTAGGCCCTGCAATCACCTTGGTTTCCTATCTGAAGGCAGTTTCTGAGCCATGGAGCAAGAAAGGGAATCCTAAGCAGAGTAGATGATATTTCTGAGTTAAAGAAAGAGAAACTGAAATTTGGAAAATTGAGTCAGCTGAAGTTTGCAGGAGACAAGGAAGCCATGCAAAGAAAGGATTCTAGAAATCTGCATCAAGATCCCTTTCAGTCTGTTGCTGAATACTAAGCCAAGCATGTAGAAGGTGAAACTCCAGGAAGTTGTCCAAAGAATAACTGACTAGGGAATTGTAAACTGAACAGTTCCGAGTTCATATGAGGCTGAGAGATGTTCAAGTCCAACCAGCTAGAGTGAGGGCTTTTCACTGAATATCTGGGACATTCAGTAAAGACATCAAAAGCTTTAGTGAAAGGATAAACTATGCCTAGAGTAATGATTCTAAACCTGCTCCAACAATCCCTAAGCCTTGAAAGGATTAAGCTGATCTGTAAGTAACTTAACTGCCTACCAGAATAAAGTCCAACAAGCTCTAAATCATACAAAAAATCTGGTACTTAATAATGAAAAATTTACAATTTTCAGCATTCAAAAAAAATTACTAGACATGCAAAGAAAGAGGAAAGCATGATTCAAAAGCAAAAGAAAAATTAGGGATGAGAAACAGGCCCAGAAATGACAGAGATGATGAAAGTTACCAACAAGAACTTTTAAAGAACTATTGTAAATATGCTCAGCATGCTCAAGGATTGAAAGGAAAATGTGAACACAGGCTGATCATGGTGGCTTATGCCTGTAATCCCAGCACTTTGGGAGGCTGAGGTGGGCAGATCACTTGAGGCCAGGAATTTGAGACGAGCCTAGCCAACATAGTGAAACCCTGTCTCTACTAAAAATACAAAAATTAGCCAGGTGTGGTGGTGTGTGCCTGTAATCCCAGCTTGGGAGGCTGAGGCACAAGAATCACTTGAACCCAAGAGGCAGAGGTTGCAGTGAGCTGAAATAAAGCCACTGCACTCCAGCCTGGGCAATAGAGTGAGACTCTGTCTCAAAAAAAAATTACAAAAAGAACAAGAAAAGAAAATGTGAACATACGAGGAAAGAAATGGAAAATATTGAAACAAATCAGATGGGAACTTCTAGAAATGAAAAATACAATATCTGAATAAAAAACTGACTGGATGTGATTAAAAGTAGATTAGACAGTGCATAAGAAAAGGCTGATAAATCTGAAGACATAGCAACAGGAACTATGCAAAATGAAGTACTGAGGGGGAAAAAGACTGAAGAAAATTAGTAGTCTTAATGACCTATGAAACAATATGAAGTATTTAACAAATGTGTAATTGGATTCCCAGAAGGAGAAGTGCAGGCAGAAAATATATTTGAAAAAATAATGGTTGAAGTTTTTCAAAAACTGATGAAAACAATAAACACACAATCCAAGAAGCTCAACCAACCCCAAGCAAGAGAAACACAAAGAAAACTTCCACACATCATAATACAATATCTGAAAACCATTAAGAAAAAAAAAGCAGCCAGAGAATAAAAAGATACACTATGATCAGAAATGAAAACTATGTATATCCATAAAAAAGAATGAAATCATGTCCTTTGCAGCAACATGGATGCAATTAGAGGCCATTAGCCTAAGTGAATTAATGCAAAAATAGAAACCCAAATATCGCATGTTCTCACTTATAAGCGGAAGCTAAATTTTGGGTACACATGGACATAAAGATGGGAACAATAGAAACTGGGAACTACTAGAGAGGGGAGGGAGTGAAGGGGAGTAGGGGTTGAAAAACTACCTATTGCATACTATGCTCACTATCTGGGTGACGGGATCAATTGTACCTCAATCCTCAGCATTACACAATATGCCCAGGTACTTTCATTATTAAGTACCAGATTTTTTGTATTATTTAGAGCTTGTTGGACTTTATTCTGGTAGGCAGTTAACAAACCTGCATATGTACCCCCTGAATCTAAAATAAAAGTTGAAATTATTTAAAAAAGAATAAAATATCAAAAAAAGAAAGTTACTTGGGATTTTGTTGATAATTTAGGTTTTAACGTGTCTGTGAAATGCAAAGACTTTTGCTGGTCAATGCCAGTGACCAAGATGAACCATGGAAACATTACGTATTAGTCTGCTCTCACAATGCTAATAAAGATATACACAAGACTGCACAATTTATGAAGAAAAAGAGGTTTAATGGACTCACAGTTCTACATGGCTGGAGAGGCCTCACAATCAAGACAGAAGGCAAAACATGGTGGCAGGCAAGAGGACATGTGCAGGGGAATGCCCCTTTATAAAGCCATCAGATCTCATGAGACTTATTCATTATCATGAGAACAGCATGGGAAAGACCCACCCCCATGATTCCATTACCTCCCACTGAGTCCCTCTCATGACACGTGGGAATTACAGGAGATACAATTCAAGATGAGATTTGGGTGGGGACACAGCAAAACCACATTACATTAGTTCAAGTAAGTAAATGGTTAGAGGTTGACAGAAAAAAAAAAAATCACTTAAATTAGTGAAGTGCTCTTTCCTGTTATGACATATATTTGAGTTTCCTTTTAGCTTATGAATAAACATGTGTACTTACATATAGTAGTGATAAAAATTCAAACTATTCCACAGTTCTATTTTAAAATGGCATGTTTTATATTTTTTGTATAATTAATCTTAATTGCAAAAATGTGTATACTTAATCGCAGTGAAAATAAAGCTGTCACCTAAGAAAGAAGGAAGGAAAGAAAGAAAGAAAAAGAGAGAGAAAAGGAAACTATGATAAAGACAAAAGACAAAAGACAATGGAGCAGTATCTTTAAAGCAATAAAAAATCACCAACCCAGGATTCTATGTTGAACAAAAATATCTTTCCAAAATGAAGGGGAAATACTTCTTTCAAAACAACAAAGGCTGTGAGAATTTGTCCGTTGCAAACCTAAACTACTAGAAATGCTAAAGAAAATTCTTCCGAGAAAAGGCAAATGATATCCTATGGAAGTTTAGATAATACTAGAGTTTCTCAACCTCAGCAACTATTGACACTGGGGACTAGATAATTCTTCACTGTGAGAGACTGCCCTGTGAATTGTAGAATGTTTAGCAGCATCCCCGGCCTCTACTCACTTAATGCTAGTAGCAACCAATCACACCCCTCACCCAAATTGTGACAACAAGAAATATCCCCAGACATTTCCAAATGTCCCTTGGGGCACAAAATATCTTCTGTCTCTACCCCTCTTCTCTCTCCATTGAGAAACACTGATATCCACAAAAGAATGAAGAATGCCAGAAATGATAGGGAAAGAGAATCCTGAATGAAAACAATGATGACAGTTTGACTTGCAAATAGTATCTCAATATCTTTTGTTTCTTTGTGATTAATTTAATAGTTAATTCCTAACTAAAGAATTAACTATTGCTAAAGAACTAATTTGTATGCATAGGTAAGATATAACTCGTAACACAGGAATAGAGAACAAGGAATTTTAAAATCTAAATAATATATATTATAGAAAATTTAGCAAACATATGAAAGTAGAAGGGAGAACTTCATTATCCTGTCATCTAAACATAACATTCATTAACATTTGGTCTAAGTCCTTCAAGTGATTTTTTTCTATACATACTTGACCATTATTATGACATACATACACACACACACACTAGTTTTTGTTAACATTTCATATATAATAATTCCTTATGCTAATGTTAAAAGAAAAACTTTAGACAAATTAAATTTAACAGAGTTTAATTAAGTAAAGAACAACTCAAGAACTGGGCAGCCCTCCTAGCCCCCCAACCAGAGTAAGTTCAGAGAGACTCCAGTGTTGCTGCACAGCGAAAGAGGATTTATGGACAAAAAGGAAAGTGAAGTAACAGAAAACAGAAGTGAGGTACAGAAACAGTCAGATTGGTTACAGCTCAGTGTTTGCCTTATTTGAACACACTTTGAACAGTTGGCTGCCTGCAAGTGGCTAAAGTATGACTTCTGTGATTGGCTGAGACTCAGGTACTTGTTACAAGAGTAGGTTATGGTCTATTTACAGTCCAGTTAGGTTACAGGTCACTATGTAGGGAGAAACCTTACCAAGGTTTCTGAACTTACAAGAAGGCAGCTTTAAGCTAAACTTAATTTAACAATAAAAAATGTTTAATGGCAGAACAATATTCTACCATGTACCATACTGTTTTTCTTAACTCTTTATCTTATTGGTGGATATTTAGGCAATTCTAATGTTTTACTTTTATTATAATGCTGTAATAATAATCTTTATGGAAAATTATTTTTCCCATGTCTTGAGTTATTTTCTTAATAGAAATTTCCAGGACTGGGCGCAGTGGCTCACACCTGTAATCCCAGCATTTTGGGAGGCCAAGGTGGATCACTGAGGCTAGGGGTTCAAGACCAGCCTGAACAACATGGTGAAATAAAATTAAATAAAATAAAATTTCTCAGAAATGTCTTCTTTATTTATTTATTTATTTTTTTTTGAGAGGGAGTCTCGCTCTGTCACCCAGACTGGAGTGCAGTGGAGTGCAGTGGCACGATCTCGGCTCACTGCGAGCTCTGCCTCCCAGGTTGACGCCATTCTCCTGCCTCAGTCGCCAGAGTATCTGGGACTACAGGTACCTGCCACCTCGTCTGGCTAATTTTTTGTATTTTTAGTAGAGACAGGGTTTCACCGTGTTAGCCAGGATGGTCTCGATCTCCTGACTTCGTGATCCACCTACCTCGGCCTCCCAAAGTGCAGGGATTACAGGCATGAGCCACCGTGCCCAGCCAGAAATGTCTTCTTTAGGTTAGACAATAGTTGTTGTTTTTTTTTTTTTTTTAAGACAGAATCTCACTCTGTCACCCAGGCTGGAATGCGGTGGTTCAATCTGAGCTCACAGCAACCTCCGCCCCCTGGTTTCAAGCGATTCTCCTGCCTCAGCCTCCCGAGTAGCTGCGACTACAGGCATGAGCCACCACGCCCAGCTAATTTTTGTATTTTTAGTAGAGACAGGGTTTCACCATATTGGTCAGGCTGGTCTTGAACTCCTAACCTCAAGTTATCTGCCTGCCTCGACCTCCCAAAGGGCTGAGATCACAGGCATGAGCCACCACGCCTGGCCATAGCCAATAGCTTTTTAAGGGCTGGAACTGTCCTAGTCAATGTTGTATTGCCCTACATAATCGACACAGAAAGTATTTAGCAGAAATTCAGTCAATTGTTCTATGCCTTTAAGCCGAATTTAAAACTATGAAATAGATCTCTGACAGCAGTGTTTACACTAGCCAAGTCGTGCAAACTATACATGTCGAGAAAAACAAAACCTACCCTAGTGAAAGGATATACCTGAAAGCCAGTTTGCCCATACATTTCTACTAAATTTCAAATGAATTTTTCAAATTGCAATATCACTCTTACCTGCAACAGAAGCAAAGGTAAATTTTCAGGGGTGTACTCCCTTCTTAGGCAGCTCTCTAGCTCCCTCTGCATGATGTCTGCCTGAACAACAAAGGACTTCGACTCGGCCACCTAAACCCAAATAACTAGTTTTAATATCCCAAATTAAAGAACTGTAAAATTTCAAATATCACAAAATCAGACTTTTCCAAGGAAATAATGGTCTGCTCTGATCCAGTGGTAAGCTGAATAGTGGCCTGTTCTCATAAATACTGTTAATAGCATCAGCTGTTTGTCTGCAAAAATAAACTGTTCCTGCTAAAAGTTACCAATCAGAAAAATCAAACTTACTGTTGTATTGAAATAGCTCACTCTCCTACTCACCTGTAAGGTTTTCTTCAGTGCCAGTTCCCTCTCTCTTCTAAAGTAATAAATATCCTTTGGCGTTTGAACAGAGCTGCAGAAAGATTTATGCAATATAAGTAGTAATTACAGAAGCTGTAATCGACCGGATTATAGACAGGCCATGATTAATCTGTAACTCTTCACAACTGCTCATTTCTGAATAAGTATATCATATTATACTGAATTATTGAGGGCATGCAAAGGCCACATCCTTTTGTTTTGGTTAGAATCTTTTTTGTTTCTTCTTTAATTAGCATGTTTGCTAAACCTTTCCCTGGGCCAGTTTTTCTCTCTCCTCCCCATACAAACAGAGTATTTCGTTCTACCCTTGATTCACCTCACTATTTCCTACTGCAGAGTAAAGGGAGGGACACAATGGTGAGGCTTTTTATTTCCCCAACTGTATTCCCTCCAGCAACCTTATCTCTGACAAATATTGTGCCTCTCAGATCCCACTTTCACCCTAACTGGCACATAAAACCAATATCGTGTAATTTAAAATAAAATGCTTCTATTTTTGTGTTCTTGATGAATTATCTGCTGGGGGGTGGGAGTGACTCTTAAATATCAAAGATGAAATACTTCAGGAATCAATTTAACCAAACTTAATGCTTCAGGAAAATTATTGATTCCTAGGAAAAACATTTATAGCAGAAGCGCCTGTTTAAGCAGCCTTGTGGATTCCTGTTTACACCGTTATGAGGGAGCTGTTGTTTTTACCATGGACTCTGATACAAGGAGGCACAAGCTGTGGGGTCACCTGGTAAGGGGGTGGGACCCTGGGTTGGGAACAGCAGAGTGCTCCACATTTGGGATAAGATATATCCCAAGGTTTGGCAGCTTTGGAAATATCAGGAAACAGCAACCCTGATGCCAACATCACTTTCTCAAGATAGTATTTTGCAGACGTTGGTAAGGGGCCAGAGCAGGTAGTCTAGAAAACAGGTGAGAGACCACCTAGAGATTATGAAGGAGGTGTAAGCAGTGACATTTAGGTTAATATTGTTCATATGGCCCTATGAGTTCCCAGATAAGTTTTAAGGGAAGATAAAAATACACTGTTAGTTTGTACACTTGCCAGCAATTTCCCCCACTACAGGGAGTGGTTCTGTGAAAAGAACCCCAGGCTGACAGTCAAGAAATCCATCAGCCAAGTGAGCCTAAGCAACCCATTTAGACACATTGTGTCAAATTTCCAGCCCTGAAGTTGGAGATAATGCCCCTCTTATCTCCTAATATCTTTGCTTTAATGGGGTGGGGGAAGAAAAAAGAGGTGAGCTCTGAAAGGGATTTGAGAATAAAAACAGTAATAAACCTAAGGTATAATTTCTGTGATTCTGAATCCTGGCTGCAGCGTTGTGGCAGTGAGGAACGAGTAACCAACCAGAAAAGGGATTAGCTATTACCAGGTAGGTAGAGAAACACAAGAAACTTTCCCCTGCCCTCTGATCTTCTTATCTTTGGCATACTGGGAGATGAGGAGGGTCATGGGTTTAGCTACCCAGCTCTGTCTCATTCGGATCTTGTCTTTCCTCTCAGTTAACCTCAAAGTGCCTGTGAATGACCCAGAAGAAACTGGTGAACATAAGTAGTGTGTATATCAACCTGCAAAAAGAGATTTACTCCTATATTCATCAAGCATTGTTCATTCAACATACATTCATTCATTTATTCATTCAGCAAGAATTTATGAAACACTTAACCATTACAAAGTCTTGGGTTTGTGGAGTGAAATGAGGGAAAGGATGCAAAAAAAAAAGGGAAAATGATTAAGACACACAGTTCTCCAGGCCTCAATAGATTTTTCAGTCTAGTGGAATGAGAATGTTAAAGTGATTATCGGGAGTGGATATTTCCATGTTCCTTGGACTCTAGAACCTAGCACAGCACCTGGAAAACAGAAGGTGCTCAAGAAGCATTTGTTAGACTAATAGATTCTTCCAGGTGCAGTGTTGGGTGGTTTGGGGGAGTAGACAAATAAGGCAATCCAGGATTTCCCATCACTCGATTCTAAGAGACATCAGAAAGCCTTTCTTATCCCAGTGTACACTGGGGAGTCACTTACCTGACATTCTGACATTTAAATCATAAGAATATCAACACTCTATCTTTGCATTGTGTTTTCTTGTTTTAAAAATACTTTAACATGCATTATCTCATTATCCTCATGACCTTATGTAGGTAGGCAAGGTACTAATCTCATTTTTCAAATAAAGAAACCAAAGTTGAGAGAAATTATGACTTGCATGGTTCCGTGGTCTTTCCATCTCATCACACAATCTGATTTGCTTCAGACACCTGATGGTTTTAAATACCAATTAAAAAACATATGAAATGCTGGTTCTTCAGAATTGTCTTTGGAATGAAGTACTAATTCACCTGCTTACTGCATCTTCTGACCTCTCCAAACCTCTCACCATCCATATTGTATTTTCTCAATGATTCAACCTAACAGGGTTCTTATACTGCTCCTTTTGATCAATTGCGGCAGTAACAGAAACAGAGGGATATGAAGGTCCTGGCCCCATGAGACTTGTCATTAGGGCCTGACCTATGTCTCTTGTTTCTCTACAAGAACTTGATTGCTGTTGTTGGCAGCATTTACCTATAGAAGAGCTCCTAATGAAACAGGCTGGCTGGCTTCCTGTTGTGATCTGCTCTAGAGGAGAAGAACAAAAGCCCCTCTGGCTCTAGCTTACATAACTCTCAGCAAATCAGTAACAAAAGACCCAAGAAGTTATTAACAGCGAGTTCCTACTTTGGGGGGCTAGAGACTTCCACGAAGCCCCACATGTGCAGTTAGAACTAAAACTCAACCTGTAGTTACCCCTTCCTCATTTTTGTGCTAAGAATAATGCCTTGGGTGGAGATTTAAAATGCTAATGCTACATCTGATGTATGAAGAAGCATGTTAAGCCACTGCATGAGCACTAGAAACTGCACCCCAGTCCCCCCACCATATATGCCCTGATGTAACCCTTCTCTATCAAAAGATCCTATAAAACTAACCCACACACTACCCTTGGAGAGCAGCTCTTTCCTTTTCCTTTCTTGGTGCTGGCTCCCTTGTGCACAAGCTGAATAAACTTTCCTTTGCTGCTCTGTTTGGTGATCTCTCTTGATTTCTATCCTGGCAGAGAGCAAGAATCCACAGTGCTGGTAACACTCACAAAATAACGTTTTGCATAATGTATTACCAAATGCCTACCATTATTTCAGCTTTTAAATTTCTCACCAAAATCAAGGTCAAATTCAATTAAAATATTATTGGGTAAAATGAGATCTCCTTTCACTGAGTATGATTTGTATTACAGCTTCTGTAACTTTAAGACAATAGCATTAGTTAACATGTAAAAACACTTTTACATTTTCTTTGGTAAGACTTTTGCTTGGATCTGTCTTAACAAATCTAGAATATAGAAAAATCTTAGAGGCAGCAATCAGGTTAGAAATGGGTACCTGAAACTGCTATTATATACTATCTATCTGAACTGGAGATAATGCCAATTGTCCATGTAAAAAGAAGAAAGGGTGCTGATGGAGATTATGGAGTGAGAGTGGGAAGTAAAGGCCCTGAAGATCACACCTTCTCACTGCCACTATTTACCTGTAAACTCGATTAGTTTTTCCCTGAAGAGCTCCCTGCTCTTCTATCTCAGACTTCAGTTCAGTCAGTTGCACAGCCAGTTTTTTCTCCAACAGCTGGACCCTTTCTGTGGAAGTGATCTTATAAATTTCATCCATGATTTGCATTTGCTGTTTTTCTGTATCCCTGAAAAAGAGGATCACAAAGCTTGATGCCCTCAGTGACCATTACCCAGCATGTGGAACTTTGTCTACCTTTGTCCAAGAAATCATGTGGACTCTGTAGAAATGCATGCATTTTGCTATTAGACTGTTGTCATTTGTGATTTAATTAACATCTAGTAAATAGTAGAGAAAAAGTCGATCAGAATCTCCATGGGTCATGCCTTTGATTAACCAGTTCACCTTCAAAAACATCTCTGCTTCAGCTTTGGCTGTTGGGGTTTAATAAGCGAAAATGCACCTCCCCTCAACCCCTCACCTCTGCAGTCTTGATAAATGTTTGTGGGGATTACACACTAACTACTGTGAGTGGCAGTTATTGCTGACTTCTAATAAAAAGCTGTACTTTTACATTTGAATGTGTTTTCTTAATTTTGACTGCCTACATTTAGCACACAGGTTTTACCATTAAATAACAGCTGATAACCTCCCACCCCACCTCACCTGGTTCACAGTCTGTCAAATTCAACGTAATTGTTTGTTAAGTACTTAGTGTCAACATTATCATTAACAATGTAGATTAACTGCATGACTCAGAAGTCCTGGGACCCATAAATTGCAGGGGATTCACCAGATGACATATTTCCTTGTGTTACTGCTGCCCTCACCTGTCCTGGACAAGTAGGAGTTAAGTCTCACTTAGGCCACATTAGAGAGATTTATAATACTTAAACCTTCTTTTTTCCTTTGATATTTCTAGGTTCTCAACTTTCCTTTCGAGATATTTCATTTTCTCAAGTTAATATGCTGTCATTTCAACAAATAATTAAGCTGTAGAGATGTTTTGTCTAGAGGCTTCCTTTGGGAGCCTATTTATTCTTTTTCTAAATATATTAAAAATGGAAATGAGCATCCATGTTCAGTCCAGGTTGTGAACCTGATAGTAATAAATCTGTCATGTTTGGCATGCCATTGGAGCGCAATAAAATGCACTGTTAATGTTCTTAGCAAAAGTAAAATGTTGTTATAGAAAATATTTGCCATTTGGCAGTGTCCTTTCAAGTTGGACGAACAGTTAAACAACTGCCTTAACAGCTGCATTCCAATCGGCAGCCAAGAGTGGGAGCAACATAGACTGGCTGATTATTCTCCCACAGGACAGACATTCTGCCTTCATTACTTGATTAGTTTCAACACTTCACAGCTCAGAAATGAGAACATTTAATCCTGTACTGTTTAGCTTGCAACACAGTCAAGTACAGTATTCAGAAAATTAACATAAAGGGGTCAGTCTTTGACAACAGTCCATGAAATGAATCCAACCCAGAAAAATACATGCCTGCTGAGCACTCGTGTCTAGGTTTAAAGAGACAACTGTTTACGTGGAGGGGTATGGGAAGTGTGCTTCATTTATTGAGAACCTACCATGTGCCATGCAAGCACTGGGACCTCATTTAGTCTTAGAAAAGAGATTGCGAGAAAAGAGAATTTCTTCAATCATGTTTTTAAAAATAAGTCCATTTAATTATTTGTAATTCATAATTACATATCATACATAATTTTATGCATTTAAAAGTGGTTAAAATTTAAGACAAAAATAGTAAGATCAGCTTGAGCAAGGTTTGGGGGTGTTCAATATGTGGTTACAGCAGGCTTGGATGGGGATAAAGCAGGCATGTTTAGAAGAGAAATACTGAGTAACTATTTTAAGTTTCAAGGCGATTAGTAAAAGAATAGAAATGCATCCTAGATGAGTTCATGTCCTTTGTAGGAACATGGATGAAGCTGGAAACCATCATTCTGAGCAAACTATGGCAAGGATAGAAAACCAAACACCACATGTTCTCACTCATAGGTGGGGATTGAACAATGAGAACACTTGGACACAGGGTGGGGAACATCACACACTGGGGCCTGTCGTAGAGTGTGGGGAGAGGGGAGGGATAGCATTAGGAAATATACCTAATGTAAATGACGAGTTCATGGGTGCAGCACACCAACATGGCACATGTATACATATGTAACAAACCTGCATGTTGTGCACATGTACCCTAGAACTTAAAGTATAATAAAAAAAGGAAAAAATAAAAATAAAAAAATAATAAAAATATCTGTACCTATGAAAGAAAGAGAGAGAGAGAGAGAGAGAGAAAGAAAGAAAGAAAGAAAGAAAGAAAGAAAGAAAGAAAGAAAGA